TTTTGAGGCTAAGACCATGAAGATTTTGGGGCACTGCTTGCTCATTGTCTCCCAACGAATTGATTTAATGGTCCTCACCCTTACCTATAAATACCTTCACACCCTGGCACCTCGCTATTCTTCTTCTACCCCATTCTTCTGGTGATCCCCTCCACCCAGGAAACTTTTGTATCCCTGCCCCTCCTGCCCCACTATTGGTGGCCGAGCCATCAGCAGCTACTCCCCTCTCTATTTTTAAATCCCGCCTAAAAAACTACTTCTTTGTCCGTGCCTATGGTGATCTCTTCGTTCCTTGCTACTACTTCCACTACTCACCTAGAAAATCATCAGCACAAAACTCCATACCCCCAACACTTCAGTCTTTACCGGGCTCCAATGGCTCCCTAAAGCAGAAAGGATTGATTTCAAGATCCACATACTCATGTACAAATCATTTCACTCCCTGGCACCTCCGTATCTCTCTGACGTGCTTGTACCCCACTCCACTACCTGCTGCCTTCACTCAACTGATTTCAGCCTACTGGATGTTCCTCATCCCTTTCACTCCACCATTGGAGGCCGTGCTTTCAGCCACGACCCTTAAAACTATGGAACACTCTGCCTCAGTCCCTCTGCCTTGTCCCCGTCCTTAACCACCTGACGACCTTCCTCTTCAACTGTACCTATGGTCACCTCCCCCCTCTCCCAGGCATGACACCAGCTCTGCCACTGTTCATCTCTCCAAGACGCTACCCCCACGTGAAGGGTGCTATATAAATATTGTTGTTAAAGCATTGTATTCTATTGAAACCTTTTGTGAGCCATTCTCAAAGTGTCTTAATGATTTCCTCATATAGATGTTGTGCTATTTTGTCATTGAACCAAACCTAATCTTCTGGAATGGTAATTTTAATATGTTTGTTGCCCTTCAGCAGCATTTATAATCCATTGAACATTTGGGACAATTATCAGTACATCTTGCTAACACATTTGGCAGTGTAAATTTCAAGCTGAATACATTTGGCGATAAACTAATGAATTGTACTGGGAAGACCCAACATCATCTGATGGTGATTCACTGTGATCTAGCACATTCTTATCGTCTTTCTCTCAACTTGTTTACCATGGAGTTGTGCCAAAAAATATTTTTAGCCTGCTGGTTTATCAATATTCAAATCATTAATTACATATTCTGAGATAAGCTAATGAAACAGTCACAGAAGTGAGCTGTGCTACTAATTCAATGTGCATCCAGTTTATTGCACAGCAATGTATTAGTGCCACCCTAAACTCTCCCAGATTGTATTTTTTTGGTTTCACTGCTCCACATCTTAACCAATCACCCAGCAACCAAAAGGAGCATAAGAGCCCAAAGCCAAATACATTAAAGCCAGCGGTATGATATGATTAGTAGCTCCACACCGAGGTGGACCAAATAACTCATAAACAGACGTGTGTGCATGTGGCTCTTTGTGTTTTTGCAGATTCCATTTGAAATCTTCGCATTTTTTAAAGAAAATGTCACAATAGGACTGACTCGCTGATGCTGTAAGTTGTGAGATGAGAGTGCCAAAAACCTCACGTTCTAAGACTGTGGATTAATGTTTTAAAATTTAAGTTCTTGTGAATTTTGGAAAGCAGTCTTAAACTCACTCTTAATTTAAAAGCTAGTTGAAAAGAACTGTGGAAAATTGCCTCCCAATTTGATAGTGAATGTAAGACTGTTGCTAGACTTCCACACATTCTTAAATTTTAAGACAATGGTCTTAAGTCTTAAAAGCATTAGAAATATGGGTTTTCTGGTATGTAATGATGAGGTTACACTCCCCTCCTGCTGACAGTTGTGAGAGTTTTAATAATTAGTGTAATCTCCCTCTCCAGTACAATTTGGGTGTGAGAAGTAGATTGTGAAGTGATTCATGTCTTTGTTACCTCCCAACTCAACTTCGCAAATGTACTCCTCACTGTTCTCCCTCATTCCACCATCCACAATCTCCATCTCATTCAAAGAACTTTGTTGCTTGTACAAAATTCTGTATTGCTGTGTACACAAATACAAATGCAAAGATAATATATTAAAAAAATTAATAATACACTATTCACCTAATTCCACTAGCTCTCTAACTGCAAACAAATAGAAATTCAAGCTCTTGGCCAAAAGTCCCTTCATGCTCTTCCTATATCATGATTTTCTTCCATGTCCCTCTCTTCTCATTCTCCTCTGCTCTGCAAACCATTGGTGGCCAAGCCTTCAGCAAATATACCCGACCATTTGAAATGCCCTACTCCTCTGTCTCTATTTTTTAAATCTCTTCCAAAAATTGTGCCTATAATCATTTCCAGCTCCCCATCCTTCCATGCTTGGCATCCAGCCCCACCACTGTGAAGCACTCTGCAATGTTATTCTACATGTAGGGTGCTACGCAAATGTAAATAGTTGATTGACAATGGAGATCTTGCACAGTGAACTTTGGCAGTACATCGATTTAGAGTATAAATATGACTTGTGCAATCACCTCAATCAAAATTAACGTCTTAAAGGCCTGGGCTCTTTAACATTAAAAGAAAAATGTGGGATCACTCAGCTCCAAACAAAAAGTGATACTGAAAGCGATGCTGTATTCCTTCGTGCCAAACAAGTGAGGCATCAGATGCACTTTCTCAATGTTGTCTTGTAGGTAGAGAGAGGCAGATGACGTAGCCTTTTTGCACAAGCTGCAGCATTGTAAAACAATTAAACTAATGGGATTTATCCTAATAAAGAGATCAAGGACATAGCATGAGCACTCGTTCGAAACATTAGGTAACGTAAGATAAGAATCAAAGATTTTCTGTCCTATATGCAGGAAAAGTTAATTTCTAAGGTTCATGATTCCTGTAATAATTTCTCTGCCGAATGAGAGGAGAAATAAGAGCTGATGGTTCACCTAGTTATCAAACCCGATTGCCTCAGGGGCAAACAAGCGGAATAATAAGAAATTAAAGTATTTAGAAACTACATCAATGTTCCTTTCAGCAGTGAAATCTAGATTTGAATTGAGCCTAAACTATGGGATGAAAGGCTACTCTATGACTTGCATTAAGATAGTGTTCTTTTTATCTCTGTTTCTCCGTCACTTCTCTGTCCTCTCTCTTGCTTGCTCTCTCTCTCTCTCTCTCTCTCTCTCTTTATCTTCATACAAATGCAAGATACGTGGAGTCTTGTAGTGTAGCGGCTAGTGCGCTCACCTCGCAAGTGAGAGACCCCGGGTTTGATTCCCGGGTGGGGCAAAAGTAGGAACCTGGTTGTTAGTCAATTGGCGGATTGCTTTCCGGGGGTATTGATTCCTCCAAATAAAAAAACAAGAATAATTTGGTCACTCAATCCATGACTGTTTGTGGGATTCTGCTGTGCGCAATTGGCAATTCGCATTTGATGTAACACTTTGTCACGTCAGACGTCTCAAAGTGGATCACGGGTTGCACTGTGAAGTGTAGTGACTGCCTATTCGCAGGCATACTTGACGGGAACAAGGATTCTTGGCCCTCGTCTCCTATTAATCCTGCAGCCAAAACCCAAAGGGGTAGATATGGTAGTGCTAACCGGACAAGCAAAAGAAAGCTTCCTAGGCAGCACTTTACAGCTCTACGGTTTTAGATTATTAAACTCCAGCAGTACCTCAGGACACAGTTTGGGATCCCCAAGCTCTGGCTCTTGCCAACCTGTACCTAATACACTCCAGAATTAGATAAGCAGGATGCGCATTCCATTCCAGATGCATGGAAATTTCCACATGTAGGTGGTATTGAATACTCTAACTTGGTGATGGGTTTCCGCATGTGTCAGTCACCAAGCTGGTGTGTGGGAGGCTGGACGGATGAAGAAAGTTGTTACATTTATAGTTTGTGTGTGATCACAGGATCATGTGCAGTGCCATCACATGTGTGATGTGATTGACAGCATCAGCACTTTGTGCTGGTAAGATGTATTAAAATTCCAGCGATGCTTCTTAGCAAGTGTGAGCTCCAGTTTGGCCTCCGCACTTACTGTATAAATCCAAATATTTCATCAACTGACTTATGTGCTGGTACAGATTTGTTCTTTGTGCAGCTGATTATGTAAAACCAGCGCAAGGTTAATAAACTTTATTTTGATTATGAGGTGTACGGTTTTTATTTCAGTGAAAATAATTCATGGGAATTATCAATGAGACAGATTAATTCGGTAAAATTTACCCAGAAACATTCTCCACATTTCCAGTGACCTCTGGTCGATCTCAATGTCAGTCCCAGCAGTGGAAAGACTTTTATTGAGTTGTTGCTGGCTGTGACGTGTTCTATTTATATTACGTGAGTGTTTACAACTGGGAGAGAGAGAAAAAAAATTGACAAATGTTTTTGGCATCAAAGTAGCATCAAGCAAATGCTACTTTGAAATGTGACTTTGCTTTTGGACTGCTTTTGCAGGGGAATTAGGGTGGGGGGAAAGGAGAGAGAGAGAAAGAGAAGCAAATTCTATTATGTTCTTACTGCAGTTGAGGCACGTATAATAATCCTTGCATTTGATAAAGCACCTTATCATGTTTTGAGACGTCTCAAAGCGCTTCACAGGATTTACTGTGAAATGAATTGACTGTTTATTTTGTGGGCAAAATGCAGAAGCCAATTGTGCACAGCAGTGTCCAACAAACAATCATGGATTGAGTGACCAAATTATTTCTTTTTCAATCCATTATTATCTCAGAAAGCGATCTGCCAATCGACTAACAACCAGGTTACTACTTACTGCTCGGTAAACTTACCTCTAAACTGATCATTTCTTTGTCAGGGTTGCTCCTGCACTACAGAACACTGAGGAATTAGCAGAGCGGCTCTGATGTGCAGGAGAAATTGAGAAAAGGTGCCGTCAAGATGGCAGTAAAAGTTGCTTGCTGCTGTGTGCAAATGCATTGATATCACTGCTTTTTGCTTGGTAAAAGTATTTGTCCTATTTGTGTCGATAAAGCGTACTAAATTTTGTTTTGTTTATACTTCCTATGCAGGTTTCAAGTGCCCCGTGTGCTCAAAATTTGTTTCGACAGACGAAATGGATTTGCACCTTGTGATGTGTCTGACAAAACCAAGAGTAACCTACAATGGTAAGGTCCGGCATTATGTCTCTATTTGTGCACTGTCAAAACTATTTATCTTATCTCAGCCAAGGCTGATTGTGACCATCGACTGAGCTGTTCAATGATGTAGAATTCCAGCTATTGAGGCTGTTGGGAATGTTGCCATTGCCTTGTAACACACTCATGCAGTACAGCCTCTGATACATGGCACAATCTTTGTGGCTTCACTGATGAAATGCTTTGGGGTGAAACAAGCAAACCCGCTTTAAAAGGAGCATCTTATAGCAGACCTGCGCTGTCGGAATACCCTCATTGATCTCCAGATGTTGAAATTGTGGTGGGGTGGGGTTTTGAAGAGAGAGAGGGGTGAATCACCCATCCAATAGGAACTGTGTTGGTGGTGTTTAGTGCTACAGTCATTATTTTGGAATTTGCGCTGTTTTACAATGCATTCTCTGTGGTAATTATGTAATGCCTCAAATTTCACCCTTGTATAATTATTTCTCTCCTTGCAGATGAGGAATTAACTGTAATAACAATAATACTTGCATTTGATACAGCGCCTTATCACATCTTCGAGACGTCTCAAAGCGCTTCACAGAATATACTGTAAAGTTAATCGATTGCATATTTTGTGGGCAAAACGCGGCAGCCAATTGCACACAGCAGTACTTTCTTAAAAAAAAACTTGTTGAATTGAATCTGTTTAGTGTACATTTTATTCACTGTACAGTCCCTGTAATTCAGACTCATCTTGTCTGGAATGTGATCTAGCCAGCCAGTGGACAAAAAACGTGGGTGGCTGAAGGTAACTTGAAAATCTATGTGGCTCTCAAGAGCTACTAGGTATTGTTCAGTGAGGTGAGGTGATATTTTTAGCTCATGAGTGCTGATTTATGGCTTTCATTGAAACAAAATTGTTTCTACTGTCTTCAAAAATACAAATGCAATGGACAGAGGGATCTGTCTGGCTCTGACCTCTAGTCATTTCATCTTTGTTCACATCAAGTACACCATCTGGTACGCTGCTAAATGTTGGAAATGATACCTCTAATACTTGCATTTTATCTAGAGCCTTATGTCGCAATGTCTCAAAACGCTTCACATAATGGTTGCTTTGAAATGCAGTGACAGCTTTGTAGCAAATATAGCAGCTAATCTGCAGGAGCAACATTCCACAAAGTGTGAGATGAACAACCAGTCAATTTGTTTCCGTGAATTTGGACGAAGGAGAAATATTGACTAGAATTCCTGCTGGATTACTGAAAGAGTGCTGTGGGATCTTTAGTATTCACCTGAATCACCGAAGAGGCAGACTGCACTGCACCTTGGTTCTGTATCTCATGTGAAGGGTGGCACCTCCAACACTGCCACTCTCCCTCAGGGTTTGTTTTGGAGTGTCAGCCTAGACAATGAGCTCAAGTCCTGATGTGGGGCTTGAACCTGTAACCCACCAAATGACTCAAAGGTCTTCCGACTGAGCTCTACTGGAAGGCAGTAGAAATGAAAATATGAATTATTTGCATGAGAAGTGCATCCTGCCGTGAAGGAATTAAGCCTATTCAAAGAGAAACTGCAATTTGTTTCAATGGTTTCAGTGACTCCTTCAGTAAAGAGCTTAAATTTCTGCCGAGTAAAGTGTGCTGCGTAGTTCGGGTTTTATTTTCTACTGTTTCTTCCTTCAGTGATGTAACCTGATCTTTATATTAATCTGCTTGGTTCAGTACGCTCAAGCCTAGGACAGCTTCTTCGATTTTTGCTGAAACCAGTTTTTGGTGTGCTTAACTGGTGTATGAAGGGGTGAACTCGGGCAGTTTTCCTCTTGCAAAGGTTACCAACATCAGATACCCAAAGCTTCTGTTGAAGAGATGTCCAAACATAAGTGTCACTTGAAACTGTGAATTGAACAGAACAGGGAGTCTCATCTGACGGTTGAAAATCCTGTAATGGAGCAAGCAGCTGTGTGTCGAGAATTTGCTTGTAAAGGGATTATAGGCGAGCTGTTGTGTGGGGCCCATAAAAGTGCCCAGTTCCTTAAGCAAATCCAAACAAAATATTCTCCCTTCAATTCAAGCTGGCTACGTTCATTGAGCAAATGAAGATGATGGAAATATTGTTTTTTTCATTTAATAATTCTACTTAGTCCACAAAACCCTGAAAGGGAAGTAGGTAGAGCTGAAGCCCCCTATTGTCGGAGAGATGGGGTGAGAGAGAAGATAACGATAATCTTTATATTTGACAATGCAAAGAGGTTATAACATTGAAATATCTCAATGCACTTCACAGTAATAACTCAAATGTCGTGACCATGTACTTGTAGGTAAATGCAACAGCCAAGTTGCACACATCCCACAAACAATGTCCCACAAACAGCCAGGAAACTATTTTGGAGGACACTGGGAGCAACTCCCTCCTCTTTTCAAATAGTGCCATGAAATCGTTAATGCCCATCTGAACAGGCAGACAATTTAACAACTCATCCAGAGGACCTTAAACAACGCAGCACTGCACTGGAGATCAGCCAGAACTGTGAACTCAATGTAAGTTTTCCAAAATAAAAACAAAATTTGGTTGCACCCAAAATATTTTGTTAACAGAATAACATTGGATTTCAAGAGGGAAGTGGTAGGTATATGACAGATAAAGGCTTGAAGGACTATGTGGATAAGGCAGGGCAGTGGGCTTGAATGAACACCTTGCTTTGAGAGCCAGTGCAGACTCAATGGGCCGAATAGCCTCCTTCTGCTCTGCACTTCATCTCCTTCCCCACCTCCACCAGATCCACCACCACCTTCTACCGGCCCTGGAAGAAGTTACCCCCACAATCACTAACCGCTGCCTTGGAGTCTTCTGAACTCTCTCCCTCTGGCCTTCAACCCTCACTGACCCCTCTTCTCCTCTCACCCTCCTCCACAACACCCTCTCCTCCACACTTGACACTCTTGCCCCCATCACCTCCCGTACTGTCTCCTACTCTCGCTCCTCCCCCTGTTTCACCACCCACCTCCGCTCACTGAAGAGCCAGGTGCGGACCGCTGAACGCACCTGCGTCAAATCTGGCCTAATGGTCCACTGACAAATCTGGCTGGACCTCCTCAAAATCGACCGCTCCACTCTAGCCTCGGCCAAATCGTTATTCTACTCCAGGATAATCCTGGAGGCGAAGAACAACCCCAGGCTACTGTTTTCTACCACATCCCGACTCCTCCGTCCCCCCCGCCACCCCGCGCAGGTCATCTCCTCCAACCTTCACTGCGAGGAGATGCTGGATTTCCTTGAATCCCAAATCAAGGGAATTCGCTCCGCGGTCACTTCCCCTCCAACATCCACCCACCCCTCCCTCCCACACTCCGACTCCTACCCATCCTCCCCTACACACTTTCGTACCCGTTTCCCCACCCTCACCAAACTCATCCTATCCCTGAAACCCACCACCTGCTCCCTTGACCCCATCCCCACTCCACTCCTTATCTCCCAGCTCCACCTCCTTGCCCCACATATCACAGACATCGTCAACCTGTCCCTCTCCTCTGGCTCTGTTCCCATTCCCTTAAAAACTGCCACCATCACTCCCACCTTGAAAAAACCCTCCCTTGATGCGTCGCAGCTATCAAGCTACCGGCCCATCTCCAACCTCCCCTTCCTGTCCAAGGTCCTGGAACGAGTTGTCGCCTCCCAGCTGCGCTCTTTCCTCTCCACCCATTCATTATTCGAACCCCTTCAGTTGGGTTTCCGTGCTGCCCATAGCACAGAAACTGCCCTGGTCAAGGTCACCAATGACATCCTGACCATCTGTGACCAGGGCTCCCTCTGCCTCCTCGTCCTCCTCGACCTATCGGCAGCATTCGATACGGTCGACCACGCTATCCTCCTCCACCGCTTGTCCTCCCACCTCAACCTTCAAGGCCCTGTCCTTGAGTGGTTTAGGTCGTACCTCTCCCACCGTCTTCACTTTGTTTCCACGAATGTTTTTTCCTCCACTTCCCGCACTGTCTCGTGCGGTGTCCCTCAAGGCTCTGTACTCGGTCCCCTCCTCTTCACCCTCTATATGCTCCCCCTTGGTGACATCATCCGCAGACATGGGGTTAACTTCCACATGTATGCGGATGACACCCAACTCTACCTTTCCTCCTCTACCCTCAACTCCACGACCACCGATGTCCTGACAGCTGCCTGTCCGACATCGAGTCCTGGACGAGAGACAACTTTCTTCAGCTCAACGTGCATAAAACTGAGGCCCTCCTGATTGGCTCACGTCAGCGCCTCCGCACCTCAGGCGCTGACAGCATCAGCATCCAAGGCTGCACTCTCCACCTCTCAAAGCCAGTCAGGAACCTCGGGGTTCTGTTTGACCCTGAGCTGTCCTTTCTCCCTCACATCCGCACTACAACTGGCACCGCCTTCCATCACCTCCGGAATATCGCCAGACTACGGCACTACCTCACCCCTCACGCTGCTGAAACTCTGGTCCACGCCTTTATCACCTCAAGGCTGGACTATGGGAACTCTCTCCTCGCCGGCCTTCCCGGCACCTCCCTCCACAAGCTGCAGGTCATTCAGAACTCTGCAGCTCGTGTACTGTCCCGCACCAGGCTTTGCGACCACATCACACCCACCCTCGCTCGCCTCCACTGGCTCCCCATCCCCCAGAGGATCGAATTCAAGATCCTCATCCTCACCTACAAGGCCATTCACGGCCTTGCTCCCTCCTACCTCTCTGACCTACTATCCCCCTACTTACCTGCCCGTACCCTCCGTTCCTCTGGCTCCGGTCTACTCCACATCCCCCGCCCCAATCGCCCTACCATCGGTGGCCGGGCCTTCAGCCTCTCAGCCCCGAGGCTCTGGAACTCCATCCCCCAGTGCCTTCGCCGCCTCCTCCCTTTCCTCCTTCAAGGCCGGTCTCAAGACCTTTCTCTTTGACCGTGCCTTCAGCTCCCCTCTCGACTCTCTACCCCCTCCTCGCTCCCTCCCTTCCCTCCCCTCATCCTGACCATTTCCCCCCAATGCTCTGGTCCTGACCCAAC